TAGCACGTGGCTGCCGTGGGACCGCATGCGCACTGCAATTAACAGTTCTCGCAATCACCGCTGGGGCCGTAATTGATGCGGTGGTGGCTTGTCGGTCCGAGTCCGAGTCGTTAATTGCCGCGATTTCGTCATCCGTGCTGGATGCTGGTGTGACGATGGCTCGGCAAACTGGCTCACTGTCACCGTGATGATTGCTCGCCCGCGCCCTCCCCACGTGACTGATTCTCCTGCCCAGGGAAAATCGCAGTACGCCTAAAAACCAAAGTGTTCAGGAAAGCGACAAATACGACGCAAATACTGAACTTCAATAGCAACCACCCGATCAGTCACAAACGCAGTTGCGTAAGGGCGCTATACCGGCGCGTTGAGACGCACTGCAGTGAAATGGAAGACAAGGTTGCTGAACTACAATATCTTCGACGGGTAATGAGAGCCAATGGTTACCCGCGCAACTTTGTCAACCAGTGCATACGAAAAGGACACCAGAGACCAAATCCAACCGGACCCAAATTTCGGCGGGCTCTTCCGTACGTGAAGAACGTCTCGGAAGCCGTCAGTTGTCTTCTCACTCCACTTGGAGTTGGGGTTGCACACAGGCCGGAAGCAACCATTAGGCGCCAAGTCATGAGGCCAAAAGACCCGCTGCCACGGCAGGACACGTCTGGAGTCATTTAGCGGATCTGGTGTAGTTGCGGACAAAGCAATTATGTCGGAGAACCTGGGAGATAACTCCGTACGCGAATTGCCGAGCACGCAGCAGCAGTGAGGCGGGGAGACGCTAAATCTCAGGTGGCGGCACACTCGACGGGACCCGGCCATATTTTCAAATTTCAAGAGGCCGAAATCCTCGCAAGGGGTGACAACCGCGTGAGCTGCGAGCTGCTCGAGTCATGGTTCTCAGGCCCGCAATCCATCAACAAGCACAATGACCTCCCGGTACCCTATAGCGTACTGCGATTTTCCCTGGGCAGGAGAATCAGTCACGTGGGGAGGGCGCGGGCGAGCAATCATCACGGTGACAGTGAGCCAGTTTGCCGAGCCATCGTCACACCAGCCTCCAGCACGGATGACGAAATCGCGGCAATTAACGACTCGGACTCGGACCGACAAGCCACCACCGCATCAATTACGGCCCCAGCGGTGATTGCGAGAACTGTTAATTGCAGTGCGCATGCGGTCCCACGGCAGCCACGTGCTATAAATACTGCACTCCTGGTGCCACAATCACCTTTATCTACTAATGTCTCTGATGATGGATTCGAGTAAGGATCCGAAACGTCAGGCAAAGTCTTTTTTCTCTGCCAAACGCTCGAAATAGCTACGAAGTTTTGAGTTTTTTCCACAGTAACTCGTGTCTCTGATCTCCACAGAACAGAGTACCGCTCTCCTTATTCTTCTGTTTCTCTGCTAAGCAGTAGCTAATCAGAGTTTGGGTGACAGAGTGCTTGTCTATGTCTTTAATGGATTTATCAAGGTGATGTATTCATCCCCATGCCCTTTTTAGGATGTTCTCAGGAATGGAAAAGTGCACCTGGACTGGGAATTCAAGTTATCTCTACTGACTGACTTGGTTAACGTATGTTACCTTGCTCAAATTTTTCATTTATCTTTAGCTTTGTGAAAGGGTTATATACTATTACTTGGGCCGAATTCCATATTATTTGCCTCATTTTCAATGTCGAGAATTTGGAGGTAGAACGCATTTTTGTTAGGAATGATATAGCTTAGGCTCCATCTTAGTTCCAGGTATATCAAAATAAACTCTTAGCCCAGTTTTGTCCAAACAAAGCGCACAGGTCGTGTCGTTTTTTTTCAAAATATCAAGCATGTTTTCGTCTAACTCTGATGATGGGCGAAAAGAAGCTACACGCTAATTGATTTATGAACTTTCCTGACTTCATTCGCCTCAGTAATTTTGTGATAGACATGTACCTTATTACAATTACTTATTCACTCCCGATATCCACTCAAATGGGCAACGTGGATCGTGTTTCTGAATTTTTAAGATCGAACAGCTACCTTTGTGCCTAACATACTTCATAAGGGAGCTTCCGGCGTCGTGATTTCCTGTGAACCTCCCCAGGATCATCCGATCCGTTGTTTCTCTATATGTGTTTCCTATCGCTTTACTCTCTACCCTTTTAGGGGATGCAATATTTGCACAACTCCCCGATTAATGTTCATGGACACCTGAAGTCCACGAACTGTGTCATCGATGGACGGTGGGTATTAAAGATAACGGACTATGGGATTCCGATGGTCCTCGCACTTTTTAACCGAGTGTTGACACCTACATCCGAAGGCATGTCTTTTATTATCTCCCAACTTAAACTCTGTCTTAATGAAGACCCATATTAATTATGCAACTGGTAAAAGAGAAAGACGGCCGTTCCTTGAAACTTCGATGCTTAGTATTTGGAAGCGAAAGCGTTCCATTAGCAAACTGAATTATGCATTTCACGAGTAAACTAAGCAAACGTACTTTTATAAATTCTCCACCGCTTCGCTATATTACCAGAGTTCGATATAGGCTATCAATATGAGTCAGACGGCCTGTGCGTCATTGGGTTACTTGATTTGGACTCCGGAAAGCTTGGCAGTTGCGAATTCGAGATTGGAAGGAATTTATTTCATGCGACTGAGATGCACAACCTTAACTTGGCCTTTTTGTGTTTGCCTTCTTGTTTGTTATTTTTGTCAGGGGTAGTAGACAGCCGTGCTTGGGGGGAGAATACCTCAATTGACGTGATTTACCATCCAAGCGAATAAGCAGACCAGTAGAAAACTATGCGAAGCTTAACCTTTCACCGTAACCTTGAGTAAATAATCACATCACATTCCTCGTGCTTCGCTTCTGGCCATACCTTACCTTTGAAGCATACGCTGTGGCCCACCCGCCGGGCGTCCGCTGGACCGTGAACAATCTTACCCCTGGGCGTCACTCACCTCCATGGGATAGCAGAATACTGGGGCCCAAGATGAACGGAAATCTGCTTAGGCTGAAAGTCACACAGAATCATGACTATCAAATTCTGGTTAATGATAAAACCCACCGAAACAGCTATGTTACCGTTCCACGATAGAGCGAATATATGCGAATCAAGGGCTAATAAGGTCAGCTGTATCACTTCGGACCCGGTCACACAGTGACAATCTCAAGAACGACCAATTTGCATCAAATGGCGGGGGGGGGGGTCATTCACTGTCATCGTCCTCTCTAACTTAACTTCCAAATGGCTCTAAGTGAAAATGACTGGTGGGATATTGTGGGATCAGTGTGTTGAAAGCAACATCTAGCACACAATTCAAAAGTCCGTCAAACCAGCAGAGTGCTGCTACGAGACACTTTCCTCTTCGGTAGGCAATGTAATGATTGTTCTGTTGTTTTTGACAATCATCGGCTGATTGTTGAGTCCGTCTTCCTATGTCTGACACAAAGAATGTTTCAGGTTTTGAGTTTGCTTGTCATAAGCAACTTCATCGGTATCAACCTGGATAGAGATTGGATTCTGTAAGGAATGACCGGTCCCAACTGCCTCAAAATTAGGAACTACGATGGGGGGCGAGGGTGTGAGTGAATTCCACGTCTTAAAAGTTCCGGATCACGGTCAAACCGGTGGCCAAAGGGCGATAAAAGTAGCTTGGTTTCTGTAACATATTGGTCAGTTTCCTAAATTATGCTGTAACAGTCCGTCCCAACCCAGACGCAGATGAGTATGCATGCTCTGTCAGTAAGTGCAAAATTGCTGCAGCCCCTGAGGCTCCAAAAAGAGGGTAAAATTACCTCCGGAACCTCTTTAGTACAACGTAATACTACGATTTTGCTGTTTGAGACGCAAGACTAACTACAACTTTGCTATTATTGCCACTTCTTCCGTTGTATTCTCTGGCAATTTCACCTGTACCAAAATCGACATAGGGCAATCTGTAGTCTGAGCTTTCTCGGGAGACGTTTCCGTCCTCTATCACGTACTTCGATAACACTAACTAAACAAAGCGAAATATTATGTTAGGTACAAATTTCGTTTAAGCATAGGGCAGTGCGATATGAATATAGTCTTTATATAATTCTTCGTATATTTCTTTAACGCCTGTCAAACACCAAACCGTTCTACTTTGCGTTGCGCCAAATTCAGAGCAATTATGGACTGCTCCGGAGATTCTACGCAGACCAGAGGACTTCCATTTCGGCTCACAGAAAGGCGACGTCTATGCATTTTCAATAATAATGCAGGAGGTGATCTCTCGCGATGCACCCTACGGCGGTCTGTCTTTCACTGCCTCGGAGATCGTGGAGAAAGTGCGCCGTGCTCAGCCCATCTTCCGCCCTCGAGTTAGGACGAAAG